CTTTATGGCCGCTACACTCCCGCTAGCAGCAAGTAGAATCCGAGGCCTCCTCGGAGCAGGATTGGCTTGTATTGGATCCATTTCTGGACTCCCAGGTTCAGAGCCAGGCATAGCCTATTCAAAAGATTCCAATCAACATCAAAACAATTTGAAATGGAAGAAAATCAGGTTATCCATTAAACCTTCAACCTATTATTTTGGAAAATGCCTAGATAATGCCTCAATTTATTCCTTGAAAAAAAACTGAGATCCAGGATGAGTTTGAACCAATGCACCTCTTAAGAACATAAATAGGACTGATCCACATGCCTAAAGAACCAAAAAGAAAAGGCAGCCATGACAGAACAGAAGATCTAGGTAACAGACAAATCATTCAGCCACTTTGTTCAGCACACCAAAAAACTTACTCAAGAAAAGCATACCCATTCACATGATGATTCATCCCAATTTAAGGGCCAATTTAAATCTAACAGTAGAAGATTTAAATCTTTAATCTACAGAAGACAGCCACTTACTTTTTCCAAGACAAGACACAATTCAATGGCCAAAAAGATAAAATAAGAGAAAAAATTATCTCCCAAATAATTAAACCTAGCTAAACATACAAAGCATACAAAAGAAGCACCTGCTTACGTTACAAGAGCACTAAGCAAACTTTGAGTGAAAGACCAAAATTGGGTTCTACAAATATCTAAGTACATAGGTCTTCCAAACAAGAAGGTGACAATCTCAGATAACCAATTGCATAAAGAATTACAAGAAAACTACTAAACTGGCTGATTAGAAAAGCCAAAATATGCCAATGAACATTATATAAAGGTTTTCTACAAAAAACTTGTGTGACGATCTTAAGATGTCGAATTGCAGAATTAGGCTTCTAAATGAACTAAACATACCCATATGCACCAGCCCGACTGGTGAAGGTGATCATTCATGGTGATCTTGAATGATCACAGTGAAATAAAGGGAATTTCTTGCTGTAGGGATGCAGGGAAGCTTCTGAAACTTTCTTTTCTTTCTCAATGACTTAATATCAAACACCTTTGCTACATTTATACACAATGCTCTCCCTTTCCCGCCCAATCCCAATAACGAACTAACAGAAAACTAACTCCTGACTAACTTGCTGACTAACTTGCTGACTCGGCCGGTTTGATATGTTCGAACCATGACAACTTATCAAATTTTAAAAAAAAATTCAAACGATTTTTAAAATTTTAAAATAAAATAAAATATTTTAAAAAGACTTTTCCTTTATTTTCTACTCATCCAAACGGATCAAACACTAAAAAATCTCAAACATCAATCAATGTTTAATTCGTATTTAATCGCATGGAATTAGCACTAAAACGATACAAAGTTCAAAAATTTGAGTGAGAAACCCTTACTCACTTGGAGTGGTGAGTTCCCTTCCCTGCGTGCGGTTTGAGTCGTTCTAGGGTTTTACACTGAAACTCAACGAGTCAGGTGAGTTTCAGGGCTCGAAACGCACCGTCCTGACCTTCCGTTGAAGGGAACCGGTCGGTCACAAATCTCGTATCTGCAGAGTGCTTCAAAGTCCAATCAAACTTTCAGAGGAGGTCAAGCGACGTCGTCTTCTGTTTCAGCGAAACGCAGTTTGAGCTTCGTGGGCTTTTTGACTTCCCCTTTTCCCGCTAGACAACTGGGTCTTACCCACCAACTTGCTCTTAACTCTCTGCAACTGGGCCTGCCATCCAACACATGCACATCGGCTTTTACTTATTCTCTTTTCCTAAATGGCTTTTTCTTTTCTTTTTGTGTTTTATTTTTCAGGAAACAAAAAACATTTTTCATTAATTTTCGAAGGAATTTACAAAATATGAAGATATTTGTAGACAGAGCGGTCCGCCTTCCTTCTTCGCCTTTTCAATTTCAAGTAATGATAGGACTCATGGGCCAAAAGGATATTGTCTTGAATTTGTCTTTCAGGAACAAAGGCGCTGAGCGCAGCGAAGTGGAAGACCAGAGGGGCCAAAGGCGCGGGGTTCAGAAAGGGAGGAAGGGTTATTACAAGCTTGTTTAAACATATTCCAAACATTTGGTCAACAAGATCTAGTTTACTAAAAAAGGGCATTTATTTGTAGACATGTGACTTCATTTTCGAACTTCCATGACAACTTTTGTAGTTAGTGTATGAAATTTCACTTCCCTTTGTAACTTGAACTATCACTTGTATTAAAAATATATATTTCAAAATTTTTATGTTTTATTTGATAATGGATGAAGTCCCATTATCATGCATTTGAAAAATATATATTTTTTATGATAATAATCATATAAATTTCATCTTAGAATTCCTTAAAAAATTCATAAATCAGTTGTATGGAAACATTAGTACTTTGGCAATATAAATTTAGAATCACACCTTAATATTCCTTATTCAACCACAAGGGAGCTTTGCATTGTATTTATCGTTACTAGTATTTTTCTTTAGCAATAAAAAAAACAACCTACGATGAATTTTTTTCGGCATAGAATTAATCCGGCAAATTTTTACTGGCATAGATATGTCTTCTGCAAATTTTCACTGGCACATACCTATGTCAATGAAAAATCGTCGGGAAAAGTAAAAAAAAGAAAAAGAAAAAGAAAAATAATTTATGTAGTTTAATATTTGTAATTAAGTAATAACTTAGCCTCATTTAATCACTTTAATTAGTAATTATATTTTCATTATGATATCTTTAGTGAATAATTAGTATTTAAATATTTTAATTAATTTCATAAATTACTTGATGAATAGTAATTAATTATTCTGTGAACTTTTTCTAAAACTTATTATTATACAAAACTAGTCTCTTTGCACGCGCTTCCGCGCCTGCGAGAGGCTTTTTAAAAAAAAAATTAAATTTATTTTATAATTAAAAAAGATAATGGGTAGTTGTGTTCCATAAAAATAGGATCCATTATCTGATTTTTCTTTTAATTTTAATTTTTTTAAATATGAAAAAGTGTGAATTTACCATATTATCCTCATTTAATTAATAATTTCAATTCTCAATGTTTGCATTAACCAAGGGCATTTTCTGGTATTTTGAATGTTTCACCATTCTCTGCCTTTTGCTTTATATATATAGATTAGTTTTTAAGTTTAAATTTTTTAATTAGCTTTATTTAATTACATTAATTAATGATTATATTTTAATTATTATTTATTTAGTGAATAATTAGTATTTACATATTTTATTTTATTTAATAAAATACTTAGTAAATAGTAATCATTTATATTTAATTATCTTAAATAATTTTAAATAATTTTGTGGAATTTAAAATTATTTTTAATTTCAGAAATTAAAGATTGTGAGTCTCTCTATTTAAGTAAAATTCTCTGTTAACTACTAAGCTTCAAAGTAGAGTGGTTAGGGGCAATATAGTGGGAGGTGGGCTGTGGGTTTTGGGGTTGATGAGTTTTTTTTTTTTTTTTTTAATCTGCCAGGTGTGTATTTAGAAGTAGTTTGGAAATAGGGAATAGTGGGGTTTTCTTCGAAATTGTAAAAATTTGAATTAGAAGTTGGAGTAAACTTAGAATATGAGTTAACAAAGAGAAGTGCGGTGAAAAACTCAAATGCTAAGTCCCTTGCGCCTCAAGAATTTTAATTGCAAAGGCCCTATCATCCAGTACGTAGAATGGGGGATCGGAATATATCTCAACCTTGTGCCGCCGCCGCTCTGCTCACATCCGGTGAAGATGTTCAGGTCTCTGCCTTGATGATGGCTTCACGCCAACATGAGGTCCTGCAAAAAAATATTGGAGATCGAAAAATCTTTGCGCGAACTGTGCGAGAGAAAGGAGATGGAGAAATCTCTAGCCGTGCTTTTCGCCCAGCAAAACCAACTGGTCGATTTGACGAATTCAATGTCGGAGCAGCTTCGCTCATTACAAACCAGTCGACCCGAAACGACAGAGATTCCGAATTCCACAAGGTCAGTACATGGCTTCGTGGATTTCATCTTCTTCTCTGTAAAATTGTAGTTTTTTTTTTCAAATTTTGTTTTAAGTTTTCTCTACTTGCTGCATAGATATTTAATTATTCAAAGATTCTGCTTGAAATAATAACCAGCTCCTATCTTTTTCTTTGAGGTGTTTTCTTGCAAACTGTGGCGTGATATTTTCTGAGGAATCAGATGTTATATTTTTCAACTCTGATCATTTATATATTCCGTGAATTGAAATTATCGTGTATCAAATTACTCTTTAATATTTAATGATGATGATCTAGTTCCATTCCATTCGCAGTTTATAGGAAAACGAGCAAGGCATGTTTACTGTTTTAATGTTTGTATTTAAATTCCTGTGTGTGTGAATATATACACTTACTAAAGTAGATGATATTCTCTCTATGGAGGTAGTGTATTTGAAAAGCTTAACTTATCTTGTTGTATATATCTCTGTTATCAGCTTGCCCATGGATTTAGAGCCTGCATCAATGACGTTAAATAAGGGAGAAGCTATTAGATCTGTATATTTATTTGGGTTTTCTTATATGAGCGGAGAAGTAGCTAATGAAATCTTTGAAGTGAAATTCAAACAAGGAGGAGGAGTCACGCATGAACCCCGAGTAGTTCGACTTGTTGCCAGGTTCATTGAGAAGCATGAGGCTATTGGCTTTCAGGCTGCAAGGATTTTCAACCGTTCCAAATTATACGTCGTTGCACAGGATGGTGGATATATTATTGATACGAAGACTATGTCAAGTTCATCTCTTCCTCTTACCCAAGGCTATAAATCAACACCAATTGTTGTGTCTGCATATGACAAGCTGTATTGTCTTGAAACTCCAACGAACTTGCGACTTGTTCCGGAGCCCTCCTTCGAGAGTTATGATCCTGATCAGAACATCTGGGAGAAAATGACTTCTTATCCATTTTATAATGATTATGACACCCGTATGGATATAACTGGTTATGCCGTTTGTTATGGCATTATTTTGTTTTCATTTGGTTGCCAGAAAGAAAGTAATTTCGATGTCATTGCATTTCACATCAGTAGAAACGAATGGAAGCGAGTGAAACTTCATACTTCTGTTTATTTCCCTCCTTTCCTAGGTAGGGCCGTGGTTATAGGCAAGACTATCTATTCCTTATATGCGGAGGAGTTTATAGCATTCTCCTTTAAGACTTACAAAGCTGATGACGGTAGTCTTGTATATTACCTAAGCCAACAGTTTAGATTGCAAGGCCTTGAGATTGCGCGCCCACCATTGCGATTTGCTTGGGATAGGAGTGAATATTTGGTTCATTTGGGGAACCTGGAATTTTTCCATGTCAACACCGGGTGCTGCGATGCTGATCTCCCGGCTCAATATTTTTGTATCACCATGTTTCAAATTGTTGTTGGAGAAGGAGGAAGAGATATGCTCAAGACCATACATTCAACTGTTCTTTCTGCAGATGTAGAGGACAGTGGGTTGAATCTTGCTTTATGCTTCACGCCGTAAGTTTCCTTCATCTTTCTTGTGTTTTCATCAATAACATTAATTTGTGCGTTGGAATTCTGCTACTTTTTGTATGTAACAAGGTTTTTCATTATTATGACTCAGTGAGTGTGGGGATTATGAACCTGAGGAGTGTGTGAATCAGCCAAGCCAAGAAGAAACCAGTCTTGATGAGAATTTATTACTTACGGAACATTGGAGAAAGGAAACGGTGAAAGAATTGTGTTTACATGAAATCTTTTTGTTTATTTAATGTCCATGAATCAAGAGAATCAATTTTTTTCATGTCTATGAGTGTTTTTATTGGCCTCTGAGTGTAATATCTTGTAATATAATTGGGTTTTGCAGAAAGAATACTCGGCAAGATGGAACGTTTGGGGCTAGGCATCGCGAAAGAGTGTATTTTGGGCGAACCGGCACCTCGTTGTTGGGTTTAAATGAAACTTCAAAAGCCTTGGATACCCTCATATTATATTATATTACAGTAGTGAATGTATTTGTGGGATCTTTTGCAAACTTAATGTTAATTTATATATGCTTTTGAATCTCTAGTTATTATGCAGCAGCATATATATAATTATCATTTGTTTGTATTTTGTTAGTTCTTCTTGCCCTTCTCTGTTACCTACCCTACTTAGATATGCAATTAATAGTTGGTTTTTCCAGATGTAGTTCAAACTTCTTTATAGGAATGGATCTTGGTTTTTGCTTCATCAAGTCCTAAATTGGGTCTGGTTTCTGGTTGTTAATGGGTGGTTGGGTCTCTCTCTCTCTCTCTCTCTCTCTCTCTCTCTCTCTCTCTCTCTCTCTCTCTCTCTCTCTCTCTCTCTCTCTCTCTCTCTCTCTCTCTCTCTAAGGGTGTCGCCATGATATAGATTCTCTGCTTTGTGAAGAACAGCAGGTTCCGATAAATATTGAAGAACAAGTTCAGTAGCGTCTGTGGAGAAAATTTAACATTGCTTGCTCTTACACAAAATTGCCTTTTGAGACAATCTGGCATTTGGATTTGTCTAATTTTACTTGGGGGAATAAGCTGATTCTTTATGTACTCATGGAGTAACAAGAAGGCTTTAATTCCCAAACGGAGGCAGGCTTGTTGGTTCAGTCTGATGGAATATTACATGCATGCATGGCTACAAGTTGGAAAATAAAGATGATGCATGGGGCTCCACAATGACAAATATGTATCTTCATTTTTCTTTTCTTTTCTTTTGTTACACTTAAAGGGATCAAATTTCATGTTTTCTAATCAATTCTCTTTCTAACCTTGGTACTTTCTAATAGATCTCTAAATAATTTTTGTCATGAAGAAGCTAAAACAAGAAGAAACCAAGTGACGTAGGAACAAGCCTTTCTCAATGGGGTGTATTCAATTGATTATTTTAGGGGCCTTCATATTTTATTATTTTGAGAAAAACTATGGTACAACACTAATAAATTCCAATACTATGTATTGTTTAATTTAATTAAACTATGAGTTAGAGACAATATTCCATATATGACACGTGTACGTTGATAAGCATTTAACAAGATTTCTGATAAGATTTTAATCTTCCACTCATGACCAATTCCGTCCCTTCGAAGTCTAGGACATTTTTCAAAGAGAATTGATTAGAAACATGAAATTTGATCCCTTTAAGTGGAAATGTTTGGATTAAATGAGTGTGGAAAATATTTGATAAAAAAAGAGTGGAAAGTTGTGAATAAGTAAATATTGTGATAGAATTTGTAAGAAATGAGTGGGAAATTTTTTTAAGAAATTTTGAGGTATTTATAGACATATTTTAAGTTTTTAAAATTTAAAAAATAAAATAAAATAAAGCCAACAAAGGAAATTTTGATTTAAAAAAAAAGGCTACATATTATTTTATTATTCCAAAAATGGATTTTAGCCTCCAAACCCTAAATCCAAGTCTTGAACAAAAAATAAAAATAAAATAAAATAAAGCCAACAAAGGAAATTTTGATTTAAAAAAAAGGCTACATATTATTTTATTATTCCAAAAATGGATTTTAGCCTCCAAACCCTAAATCCAAGTCTTGAACAAAAAATCATAGCTTCCAAACTTATCCAAACTTGTTCCAAAAATGTTTGCAAGCCTCGAACTCTAACCCTAAACCATTATGTACTTAGGACTTGATTGGGCTTGGATAGTCACGTAACTCGAACTTGGGCTTTACGATTAAGGTTTCAATCTCAATCTTGGGTTAGTATGACATAACCGGACCTAACATAGACTTGTCTCGGTGAATTTAATTATCTTAAATAGTTTTGTGGACTTTTAAAATTATTTTAGCATTCCAAAAAATGGATTTCACCTTTTAAACCCTAATTCCAATTCTCAAAATTTATCCGAACTTGTTCCAAAACCGTTTGCAAGCCTTGAACCCTAACTCTAAACCTACTGCAAGGCACTTAGGACTGGAGATTTTGCCGGGATATATGTCTATCCCGGCAAACATTTGTCGGCACATGTTTATCTTTATTTAGTTGGCTTATTATCACAAAACATCCCTGATGTTTGCGAAATTATCACATTGCATCCCTAACGTTAATACAGGTACTCTTAAATAGTCTCTATGTCAAAAAAACCATTAAATCCAAGGGTATAATCGTCAAATCAATCCAAACTATAATTTTTTTCTCCTTCCCTTCTCTCTTTCTTTTCTTCTTCTTTCTTCTTTCTCTCCACCTGGCCCCGCTCACTCTTCTTCTTTCTTTCTTTTTTCCTTCCCTTCTCTCTCTCTCTCTCTCTCTAGCCACCCAAACCACCACCCCGACCACCAAAGCCACCACCGTGGGATCTTATATCCCTGCCCCTCTCTCTACTCTGTCTGCAACTCTCTCCCTGCCCCCTCCCATAGCCCACCAACCCATCCACTCTAGCCACCCAAACCACCACCTCGACCTCCATAACCACCACCGTGGGATCTTATACCCCTGCCCCTCTATGTAGTTTCTCTGCAACTCTCTCCCTGCCCCATTCCACAGCCCACCAACCCAGCACTCTAGCCACCCAAATCACCACCCCGGGAGAAGGAAAGGGGAAGAAAAAAGAGAAAAAAGAAAAAAAAAAGAGAGAAAGAAGGAAAGAAGAAAAAAAAAGGGAGAGAAAGAAGAAATAGCGAAGGAAAAGAAGAAGAAAAGAGGAGGAAAGAGAGGAGAAAAAAAAAAAGAAAGAGAGAGAGAGAGAAGGGAAGGAAAAAAATATATTATAATTTTGGATTGATTTGACGATTATACCCCTAGATTTAACCTTTTTTTGACAGAGGGACTATTTAAGAGTACCTGTATTAACGTTAGGGACCATTAATGATACAAAAAAACGTTAGGAATGCAATATGATAATTTCGCAAACGTCAGAGATGTTTTGTGATAATAAGCCTATTTAGTTTGTTTAGTTGTGATTCCTTAAATATATTTAATTATTTAGTGGACTTTAATTTTCTTCGGGATAGTTAATTACTTAAATATTTTTACTTAAGTAATATCTTAGTCTTATATAATTAATATAATTAGTAATTAGCTTGTAGTTATTATTTCTTAAGTGAATAATTAGTATTTAAATATTTCAATTTGGAATCATACCCTAATATTCAACCACAAGGGAGGTTTGCACTATATTTATTGTTAGTGTTTTTCTTTATAGCAATATTGTTTTTGTTTAAGAGTTTAAAAATGATCCAGACCCAAAAAACAGTTTAAAATGATGATTTAGGTTCAGGGTTAGACTTTTAATCGTGAATAACAAAAATACCTATTTTATTTCATCTTTATTTTGGGCGGGAACGTGTATCAAATTAGTAAACACGCGCTTGCCTAGCCCGTTAGCCCGAAAAGAAGCTTTACCACCATTACGCGCTTCGCAGACCAAAAGGCTTTGCTTTTACGTGTTTAAATCTTAAAGGCCAATTTCGTAATTTCAATTCCGTCTTCCTCATTTCCCTTTCTGTTCTTCGCGTTTCCTCGTTAAACCTCTCATCAGATCCAAACCCCCTAATTCCATTTCAGAACGGTCACCTATTCGACTCAGTCTCACCCAGTAAGACTATTCAACTCGGACCGAGTCAATATTGATTAAGAGGCGTCCGCCATTTTCATTCAAATCTAGAGCTCCAATTCGTCCGAGCCGGCCTCGTAGCCATGGCTAGGGTTTACGACAATTGGGAGCGGCTGGTGCGGGCCACACTAAAGAGGGAGCAGCTCAGAAGTTCCGGCCAAGGCCACGGGAGGGTTCCTAGTGGAATCGCCGGCGCTGTCCCACCATCGCTGGGAAAGACCACGAACATCGATGCGATCTTACAAGCTGCCGATGCGATTCAAGCTGAGGACCCCAACGTCTCCAGGATTTGTAAGCCTTTTCATTTTGAATATCTTAAAATTAATGTTGATTTTTTTCAGTGCTCAATTGTTGGTGGTGCCATTCAAATTGTTGCTATTTCTGTCTTGCATAAAATATTCGGTTACAATTTAGTTCAAATTTTAAACATGCATTAAGGGTTGATGTGTTAATATAAACTTTAAGCTCTTGAGCTAAGTTTAGCTAATTGAGCTTCAGAATTATTGTAAATACATAGAAAAGTCGGGAATTATACTATGCTGCTAATTCAGTAGCATTTGCTGTTTCAGAAAACTATTTCAGTATACTGTTCAACCAATTTTTGTTGTTTTGTTTAATTGCTGGAATGTTTGGTTTGATGGTGTATTTGCTGGAGTATGTGTTTTGTTTAGAATATTTGTATGCTTGTTGGAGTATTTATGTATTGACAACATTTGTATTATTTGGGTCTTAGTGTGTGAGCAGGCGTATAGTATGGCGCAAAATCTGGATCCGAAAAGTGATGGTAGAGGTGTTCTTCAGTTTAAGACTGGGTTGATGTCTGTAATCAAGGTATCACTTAAGCTCTAATTTGTGATTGGTAATTTGTGCATGAGCCTATTTATGCTATTAGTGTCATGTTTATTGATGCAGTGACATTATTATGATTATAAGATAGGTTGTGCATAGTGTATTTTCTTTTATTTTTTTTTCCTTTCTTATAAGTAATATATACTAAGTTATTAGTATTTGGCTTTTTGTTTCAGCAAAAACTTGCAAAAAGAGATGGGGCTCAAATAGATCGTAATCGTGATATTGAGCACCTTTGGGACTTTTACCAGCGGTACAAACGACGACATAAAGTAGATGATATCCAGAGACAGGAACAAAGATGGCGTGAATCTGGAACTTTTACTGCTGACTTTGGCGAGTATGGCCATCATGTTTTGCTTTAATAGACCTTTCCCCTCCTCTTATGTTGTTATGATTTCCCAATAAGTTATTTGTTAATTGTTTTGTTGTTTCATATTGGAGCTCAGTTATTTAGAAATGAAAAAGACGATTGCTACCTTGAGGGCTTTAGTT